AAGCGGCCACGACCGCTATATCTCCAACTATCGCCGCTACACAGCCCCGTCCCCTTGCAACTACTGCAAGAGGTGGAGTGCCGCCTGCGGTACCGTGCACCAGGGCCGCCGTGCCGTCCAAGTCGGTCTCCCAGGCAGGCCCGAGAAACCGATGGACATATGGCTCGGCGATAGCGGCGATGTTGATGGACCACTGTGCCATGCTCTGGAGCAGAAGATCCTGAGCATCGGCACCGTGGCCTACGTTCACCTGGAGGATGCGGAGATGTGGATCCATCACTGGACTTCCATCCCCGCATCCCGCAGCGAGCTTTGCGGCTGTCCAGCGGCACTCTCCGTCTGGATCAGCGGCTCGGAGGCGAAAGGTCGGCCTCCCGGCTTCGGTCGCGATAGGGCACAGGCCTTACCACCAACCCGGTGGTCGGCAGGCTGCCCCCCGCTGCGCACCTAAAGCAACGCAGCGGAGCGTTGCAGCCACCCGCCTTGTGACCGGGCTGGCCACAGCGGAAGCATCGGTCACCTACGGTGGCCTCCGCCGTGCAGTGCACCCCTACGTGACCCACCGACAGGCACCTGAAGCACCTTGCCGGTCGGGCCTGCAGGAGTCGTGCCTGCGCCCTCAGGAAACCTCCGACCAGGAGGCTCCGTCCATCGGCGACCTTCTGGGCCGCCGCAATGGGGCAGCTGACAACCGCTGCCCCCTGTCCACCGGGGCCGAAGCGTATTGCTCCGGCCTTCACGCTGTCCAGAGGGCAGCTTCCCGTCTCCGCCACGGCGAGTCTGAGCTCGTCCGCCGTGACAGAGTCGTCCAGGCCCGTAATGCGCACTTCTGCGCATTTAGTGGGTCTGGACACTCGGACGTCAGCTGCATCCAGTGCCTCCCTCAGCTTAGCCGCTAGGGCGTCGGCTTTGGGGCCACTGGTAGCGCCGGCGACCTCGAGGAGCCGGGCTCCCGTCCGTGTGTTTTTACACCGGACGCCCGGAATCTCGAGGGCTTTGAGGTCCACGTTGGCCTTGACTTTCGTCAAGACCTCGGCGTACCCCACGCCCCTCTCCGCTGCCTCCGCCGTCAAAGTGATAACGACGGCCGAGGAGCGAGGGGCGCGGAGCTTCCTCGGCGCTCCCTTCGCGGCGGCGGCGGCGTCCCTCCTCGCCTTCTTGGCCGCTTTTTTGGCGGCCTTCCGCCTCTTTTTGTTGTCCCCGGCCACCGTCCAGCCCCGCTCCAACGAGCGCTGTGCGGTGTCAGCCGGGGCCGAGACTGGGGCTTGGGTTGGGGCCACCTTCCCCCTCCCTTTGCCCTTTCCGGTCTTCTGGGGCGGGGGCGCTGATGACGGCCCAGCCACCCTAGCTGCTGGCTGGGCTGTTAGGCCCGCCTTGGCAGCGGCCGCATATGTCGCCTTTGGCGGAGCCAGAGGTGGGCGACAACGGGCGCTCTCTATTGCAGAGATGCGCCTCATAATTCGCTCCTCCATCTCCGCCACGAGTCGGACTAAGTCCGGCTCCTTAGGGGCGGACAACGCCACAGGTGCCGAAGACGCTGGTGTGGCACCAGCGTGGGCACGAGCCTTGGCGAGATCCGCCTCGAGGCGGGCTCTCTCCCTAGCGTGGGCCTTGCTCTCGGCCACGAGGAGTCGTCCCGCCTCGATGATGGAGCGCACGACCGCTACCAACGCCTCCTGTTCGGGACCCCTGGCTACCCCGGACGTCTGGAGCAGGCAATCGGCCACGCCGATTGCCTCCTCGATCTGGTCCACGGGGTTGCCGGTTTTGCCTCGTAGCTCAACGAGGCCAGCACCCCCACCCCCGCTCCCCACATCAGTGGTCGACATCTCGGACGCGACCCCCTCCTGTTTACTCCGTCCAAGACCCCCATCTTCGGCTCCTCCCAGAGCCGCGGACTGGACCGCCACCTTCTTTCGGGCCACCATGGCCTTGGGGAGTCGGCCTCCGCCGCGAGCGCCTCTGCGGCTTGTGCCGACTTTGGGAGCCGAGGCCTCATCGCTAGAGGCCGACTCCAATTGCCTCTTCAGGCCCAGGCGAAGCGAGCGCCTTTTGCGCTTTGGAGTACCCTTCTGGTGCTGCTCCACAGCTGAGACCATAGGGGTACTCGCTCCGCTCCTCTCCGAGGCAGTGTCGGTGTTCGACACTACCTCCACGTTTCTCGCGTCCTCCGCGATAACGTCGCCGGATTTACTGCTCGGCGACGGGCAGGTTTGACTTTTGGTGCTCCCCCCAGAATACGAGTGGGAGCTGCCGGAGCCGTTTGGCTCCGGGAGGGATTCCCCAGACACTGTGTGCCCGGTACCCTCCTGGGTAGATTTCTCTGTAGTTGGCCTCATGTCATTTTGTAAGTTTTACGTCCTTCGACGGGGACGCCTTCGGCACTGGACTCCCTCCAGCGACTCAGCCCCTTGCCAGGCGTCAGAACGTGGGCTTAGAGCATTTTTTTATAGAGGTTTACGTCCTCGCGGATCCGAAGATCCACCGGTCCTGTCCATTCAGGATTACGGCTGGGCCGGACGGGGTCTGCACCAGACCGGGTCCGTCCGCCCCAGGGTTTTTTATAGAGGTTGCCTTCCTCGTAGCCCTCGAAGAGCCGTCATTCCTGACTGTTGCCAGTCAGGGTTACGACATGGCCGGACGGTGGTCTGCGTCAGACCAGTGTCCACCACCTCTGGACAGAGCCAGCGGCAGTGGACCCGTTCGCCCCCAGCCCGCTCTCCCCTATGCCCTCTGCCAAACAGAGGGACATGCGGAAAGCAGCCCTCCGAACAGCCCTTGACAGGCCGTTCCCACCTCGGCCGGAATTGGCCGCAGGCGGCAGCGCCTCTCCCACCTAGGGAGAGAGGCGCTGCCGTCCCCGTTGCCCAGGGTGCACCACAAGGAGGTTCCGGACCACGCACCCCAGCAATATGTGCACCTAGCTCGCCACCTTCACAAATAAATTTGGAATAGACCTGGTAGGCAACCAAGCTGAGAGAAACTATTAAATTATCACATGTTGTTTTCGTTAAGTCTAACTCCTCTTTAATAACAAAATGCTGACTCCCCTCATTTTAACGAAGAAATATTTTACCATTTCTTACCCAGCAGTACTTGTATTCATTAGCAGTGGCACAGTCAAGGGCCAAGAAAAAAGCCGTTTCATTTTTGAAGTGAAGTTTTCAGATACAAATATTGGCTTCGGAGGTCCATGGATTTTGAGTTGTTCGGTTGATAATGTCCTGTTTGTGTAATGTACACATATCATTTTTTATGTAATTTATATGTTATGGCAAGTTTAGAAAACGTAGGAATGCGTTTTGCTAACAATACTTGAACGTTTAGTTACTGCAGTTGTAAAAATTCTATGAGAAGAATTGATCTACTTTTAGCAAAGTTCTAAAAATATGATAATTACTTCATGTAATAGTTAGAACGACGTAGTTTATAAACTACAAATCTCATAACCATCCCTCACAAAATTACTAGGGATTACAGGATTTGCTGTTCTCCTTTTGTTCATCGAATAGAATCCAAACTTATATTATGTACATATGAGAGTCACCCAGTAATCCTGTTTGAACATAAACTTACTAAATACGTTAACAATATACGTTCTACTAACACATATAAATAATAAATAGATGAAAATGTCATGAAGTTTAATACACAAATCCTTTTTAACCTATGACGTACCAAGTATCCCCTAACAGCCCAGCTACAATATCAAGTAGCAATTTGTTACTTGTTTTTTGAAGAGTTGCAAAGATTTGCCTCGGGTAAGTTGTTCCAAATTCTAACTGCTTGCACCGTGAACGATTTTTCAATAAATTATTTGGCATGGTTGGGATTTTCAGATTCTCTGATGATCTCAAGAACCTGCACGTGAATGTGTAAGAACTCGAAACCTTCTTTGAGATAGATAATGAGTATTTAGGGATAAAGGTGATAATGGGGTGAACTTCGTCTCAGATAAGATTGATCATATTACGGCTAACACGGTAGTTTCCCAAAGCATTGTATGCAATAACCATTTAGGTTAGAATAGCATCCTGCTAATATTTGCCAACTTCAAGTTTTAAGAAATTTCTGGATTATCGCATGGAACAGATTTTTGAACATGTCATTGGTATAATGCATGTCTTTTTCGAAACAACAAATTACTTTATGATTTATATGATATATACTTTTTAACATGGGACAAATATTGCTTTGGTTTATATTTATTTTTTTGTTTGTTTGCACAGTATAGTGTATGTGTTTATATAGTTTCGCTTTCTACTATGATAGTTCAGCTATTTTAAAAGTAGTCGTATTTCGGTAATTCAATAGAATAATAAAATACACTCTAGAAAATTAATGCACTTATATAATCAATCAATATTATTGTTGGACAAATATGTCTAGTTATTCATTTGAATAATTTAAATACATACACGGTTTTATTGAAACGAAGTGTTCTCAGTCAGTTTGTCGTTATTGGTGCATCTACTATGGCAGATATAATAAATTCACCTGATCCAATGGCAATTACCACCACAAAGAGAACCAACGCTTTATTCCAAATAGTGATGTTCATTAGGCTATTATTTGGCAACTATTACAAATTCACCAATTCTTCTTTGATGTGTATGCTGGCTCGGTGGTACTGTGTGTTATTTGTCTTTTCTAATTGTATTATATGTGCCTTCAGAATCAATTACGCTGTAGCACCCGAAATCCTTTACACTGTGGCGTTAACTTTTGAAATTATTTTAAATGGAATATTCTCATTAATCACCAAAGAAGAATGGATCACAAACTTTATTTACAAGTATGATAAAAACAGCTATGCCATCTATAGTGTTACCTTTTTATTACTAATACAACAATTTTTCACTGTACCCTTTAAACACTCTGTTGACTTAAAAACTAAATGTGTCTCGTCGTACTTGAACACGTCATGTCATATTGGTCGTCTACCGTTAATATACATTACAGATGAATACAGAAAATGTATTCGCTCATTGAAGAAAGATATGAGCGTTATTCAAACGGATAAACATCTTACAGAGGAGCTTAAAATTGCCCATATCAAAATTTTTGTTAACAGTTACATTGAATTGACCAATGAATTTTCAGTTGCAACGACAATGCTCAGGACCAAGGTATGATAAGATATAACAATCAGACATTTTTTTTTATTGATAACCGACTAAAAAAGTCTAACTTAAAATAGTGCAATAGACAGTGTGACTAGCTGGTAATGAAACCTTAGAATTTAGAACTTTACAGATAAGATCGCCAAAAATAATTATAACTGTTAGTACATAATATCTCGTTACTTATACACGTTTTTTTGTGGTGACGAAGCATCAATTAGATACTAATCTATCCGTACTGTTCTGTCACTATATCAGTATCGCTCGGCAAACTCGACCTTCGAGTTTTACTTTTATTGAAATTCACACTTCGATCTTTTCCTTTAGTTAATTATTAACATTACTCACGGCTCTATGTATGTTCTTTTGCATATTCAAACTTATTGTTATTATATATATAAAGTAGTTTCATCAACGCATAAAAAAAAGGTAATTATATAATTATTTAAAAAAAATTATCTGATATATCTTTTGAATCGGCGAATACTTCGTCTTCATAATACAATGGTGAAGTATATAATACGATAATATTATTCATCACATCATCACATCGACAGCCTTTAATAGTCCACTGCTGGACATAAGCCTCTCCTTAGAAAGGGGATTTGGCCTACTATACTACGCTGGCCAGACGGGTTGGTTTAGGGTTTGTGTCAAGTTTTCTTTCTCTCTGCAGTGCTGTTGTTCTGCGTGGTTTTCTCCCTTAGTCGGCTCTTACGACACCCACGCGATGAATAGGGGTGGTGACACTCTGTATTCTTAATCCGTCACCACACGGACCGATATGTATACATTATAATATTATTATCGTATTATAATAGACAACATTCAAAAATCTCAATCTTACAAGTATTTAGTTGTTAGCGTGTTAATCTTAGGTTACCCCACAATTACCTTTTTTGATCTAACAACGAGTTTCCTTGTAGTTATTTAGGATTTCATATCTGTTTCATTTCCAGTATACATTTTAGTGAAAGATTTTGTAGTAGAATTACATGAAGTATTTTTTTTTAATCTTTCTATTATTGTTGTTATATTTCAGATATTATTGGGCTTCTCTTTGGACTTTTTTAAGATATGCTTCATTATATACAGACTTCTAAAGGACAAATCTTTGGTATGTAATGTATTCTCTATTAAATACCTTCAATATTGATTGCAAAGGTTTGTATACAGTACTATATTTAAATATCTGTTTTCAGAATGAGGCAATAATATTTTGGTTTGGAGAAGGTCTCGTATATGTGCTCACCATGTGCATACCACTGGTGTTGATGGAGTTGGCTTTTAATGATTTAGATGACATCAACACTATTCTGGCGGATGAGCTGTTAATTTATAAAGGTAAACGACGTTATGGAAATAAAAACTGGTAAAAGAAAATGGTTTTTATTGTGGTTACGTTTTATTTGATACATCAATTATTTGTAGGTTGGAATAGAGACATAGATAGATAAACTTAAAAACGTGAAACATTTTGTTTCTATTTCATTCTAGCGTTTTTTGATGCTTGGTTAAGTCCCACGTTTGAGATTCGAATGTTAAATACGGCGCTAAATGAAATTTCTTTCTGCAGGTTCTTTTTTTTCTAAGGTATAAGGATGCAAACGAGCAGACAGGTCACCTGATGGTAAGCAACTACCGCCGCCCATGGAGACCTGCTACTCAAAAGTCACAAGTGCGTTGCCGACCTTGGAGTCTCTCCCGCTCGAGCCAGCAGGAGGGGGGATTTGGGCTCCGGTATCCTCATTCACTCAGTAAAAGGCAACGAAAGAATTGCTTAACACCGGTTTTCTGTGAGGCCGTGGTATCACTCCGGTCGAGCCGGCAAATTCGTGCCGAAGCATGGCTCTCCCGCTATTGCCTTGATTCAATATATTATTATTTACATATTCCTATTTGGAAAATTTCCTTAAATTCCTGTATCTAATTGTTCTGGGGATTGATTGTATACTTATTTCAAGACCGGGTCGTATAATACTAATTATTAATCTTTTTTATATTGTTACAGACAAAACTCTGCGTCTCATTGTGCACGATACTTTAGACTACATTGAAACGTCCAAATGCTTCTTATGGCCTAAGTTCTCGATGAATGTAAAGTTTGCCGTAAGCTTCATCTGTTTGGTGATTTCTTACGCTATTGTATTACTGCAGTTTGTATTTTAATTAGCGGTATCATTATTCTTATCTTCTCTGAAACAGTTGTTGTTATTACTAATTAAGACATTTAAGAAACACATGCAAGTGGTTGTTGAAAAAAACAATATTTTAAACGTTCATTTGTTATTTATAGAGCTGTGTTCTCTTTTTCGTGAAGCTTTTCTTTGCTGTAGTTGGGTAAAGATGCAAACTGTTTGAGTTAATATTAGCCTTGTTGTATTAAAATTATCCAATAAATGTAGTTTCATTACCAACATTAACTTCTTTGGTACTTCCATTTGTGGTAGGTATTAAAGAAAGAAAGTGTTTAAAGAGTTACAAAGGCGTTAAAGTTTTTTGACATTAATACCAAAGTCTAGGCTTAGGTTAAGTAAAATATTGTATACATAGTTGCTATTGCTATGGTCAACTCCTTTTTAGGGTTGAACTGTAACACCTGAAGATAAATAGTGGCCAAACGATATCTTAAATCAACTAAGTCTTAGTGGTCGAAATACTCAGACACATTTTATTCCAAATTTCGATGTTCCGATTTTCAATATTAATTTATACAATATTCGGCATTTTGAACCATCCGAAATTATGAAAATCGGTATTTTGAAATTCGTATTTGTGACTGACGGAATAAAGCATGTCTGTAGTGTCGGGTACACTCCGATTTCACATTGCCCACGTTCCTAACTGTAAAGTAATTCCGAGAGTATGTGCTTCTATGCAAAAACTTTAATAGACATGACATTTAAACAAGTAAGTCAAAGAAAAACCCATTCAAGTCTTCGGATTCACTGAGTATGTTGACCAACTCAAATACTTAGAGAAGGCAAAAAAACTGACAGAGAAACTTGTCATTGGACAGAAAAAGGATAGAATAATATACGAACAAAGTCAAAACAAATATTTGTCAGTCCACCCGAACATCAGAGAGTAACGAGGAGCAGAAGAAAGTAAAATGAAAATTCAAAGAGCAATAATAATAATAATATTTCGGGCATTTGACACACAACGCCATCTAGTTTCAAACTAAGCAGAGCTTGTACTATGAAAGCTAGATTGACTGATAAATAAGTAAGTAATAATAACAATAAATAAGTTATTGCAGAACAGGGTCCATAATGTGTTAGTAATAAAAATTTTAAAACTAGTAAAAGTTTTAGATTTCAAGGAGGGTTAAAAATAAAACAAACTTATAAAATGTGCCAGAGCACATAGACTCCCCCGAAGTGTGAAACATTTAAAAATGTAAACGATGACTCGTTATATAAAGATAAAGACATCGCATCTGCTTGGCACCAATATCATTAACATCTACTGAACCCAGAATTTAAAAATGCAGAACTCATTCAGGTCCAGGCTTTCATATCGTCGAAGGTGACGACAGTCCTGACACGTTTCCTGCCTTTTGATATCCTTTCAGATATGAACGCCAAGCACTGGTGCACTGGCTTGCGCGGCGCCTAACTACTATGCTTGGGTAGGTAGGGAGAGAGGCCGCGTTACCTACCGACTGACGCAGGTACTTACTGGGCAGGGCTGCTTCGGTGAGTACTGAACCGGAGTGGACGAGCGGAGACGGCACAATGCCAGCACTACGGAGCCCACTGGGACTCCGCCCAGCACAAGCTGAAGTTCTGGGCGACCAAATCGGACGAGACCCCCAACCCTCCTCCCCGCCAGCAATCATTGCTGCCATGCTCAGGAAAGCTGGAGCGCAGTGGTCTCTTTCTGTGAAACTGTAATGCGCAAGGACGCTGAACGCGATCGGGAGAGGGCCGATCCCGTTCAGTAGATACCAGCCGTCAGCCAGAACGCCAAAGAGTGATGATCTCTAGTGGCACATTAACAGCTACGGTAGGCGATAGAATGGCGGCCTGGTCGCAAAAATGCAATCGGATCGCATCATAATATAATCATATTATAAGGATTAGGTCGATAGGCTGGGGAAGCCCGCGGCTACCTTGGGAGATCCAAAGAGATTTTCACCCGGTCACCAAATAAAAAAAAGTGTTTTTTCTAGTTATTTCGGCAGCTCTATAAAAGAGGAGCTTGTTGGCCGTGGGAGCGAGTATTGTTTTACGAGACAGCCCAGTAGTATCTCAGTGATCTTTTAGTGCGACCAAGGAGGTTTTTAGTTAGTTAGCGTTTGTAGAAGTTAATGTTTATAAATGCACTGCTAATTTTGGTAAATAACTGCCTCTTTTTATTTATTAAATCCCGGGCTTGTAACAGTACCATAGTTTCAAAATTATGGGGGAAAAATATCTACCGCTGCATGTTCAGCCACACCGTGAAGCTTTGTGGAAAGCAGGTTATTATTACAATTTTTAGAAGATTTTAAGCTTTTCGAAAAGCAATAAGTATGAAATCAAATATTAGAGTATTAAATATTTTATGAATAACATATTCACACATAAGATAGAAAACCGGTGTTAAGCAATTCTTTCGTTGCCTTTCACTGAGTGAGTGAGGTTACCGGAGCCCAAATAGGCCCTCCCGCTGACTCGAGCGGGAGGGACTCCAAAGGCAGCAACGTACTTGTGACTTTTGAGTTGCAGGCTGGTGTCCATGGACGGCGGTAGTTGCTTACCATCAGGGGACCATCTGCTTGTGAAGCTTGCCCCCTTATGAAAGCTTAACATAGGCTTCAATCCTCCCCCGGGCTGGGCGTTATTTGTTACGCCGATGACACGCTAGTTACAGCCCGGAGGGCGGCCTTTCAAGAGGCTGCGCGCCTAGCCACCAGGGTAGACTTTCTGGTGGTCGGGCGCATTGAGACGCTGGGCTTACGGGTGGCCCTGGATAAGACGGTGGCTCTATTGTTCCATGGGCCCCGTCGTGGTCCGCCTCCCAGCGCCTCCATCGTGGTCGATTCGGTCCTCGTACGGTCGGGAGAGTATGGATTCTTGACGGAAGGTGGCTCTTCAACGAGCATTTCCGACAGTTTGCTCCAATGCTGGTCCGCGCTCCTCCTTTTTTTTACGGTTGGCGCTGCTCCTGCCCTAGGGAGCTTTTTGTCCAATTTGGGTGCAGCCAGCGTCACGACAAAACAGGGGGTGACCGCCCAGAATAGGGCACGCCTCTGGCACCCTCAGACGATATTGGCGGTTAGAGGCATACACGGTTACCGTACCGTGTCGACGGAGGCGGCGTGCGCGTTGGCCGGAACACCCACATGGGATTTGGAGGCGAAAGTGCTCGCCTAAGTATATCGGCGGACGGCTGAGTTCCGGGTGGATAGCGGTAATCGGACCCCGCCCGAAGAGATAAGCGAGTGGCGTGAGGCCACTCGCCGAGCCCCGATGGCTCGTTTGGTTTTCCCGACTGGAGGCTCCACGTGCTGGCTTTGCCGCCCTGGAGGCGCTCAGACGGGTCATCGTCGATTGGGCAAGCGGGACCGGTTTTTTTCCTTCACCCGTGTGCCGAACGTCGCCTATATATAGAATGTACCCGGGGATGGAGCCCGTGCCATTGCGGGCAGGCGCTATGAGGGGTCCGGGTGTCTTCATAATAGCAGTTCCCGGATCCCTCCTATTACAAGTGCAGAGTGACACACCGTGTGGTTTTAGTCGGTCCGATTCCGACACACCACCCCGCCGCAAACCCCGGTGGGGTGACGGCCTGAGGGGGTTTCCATAGGTTAAAGAAAAAACGTGGTCGTGGTCCACCCGCCGGCGCCTCAATCGAGGTCGGCTCGGTCCTCGTACCGGTCCGGGCCCAGATGAGGTACCTGGAGGGAGGTACCTGGAGGGGTTGTCCGGTCCATGGCGCTTTATGGTGCACCGGTGTGGGTGGCGGCTCTGACCGCCACGAATAGGGCGCGCCTCTGGCGCCCCCAGAGGATATTGGCGGTCAGAGCCATACGCGGATACCGCACGGTGTCCACCGCGGCGGCTTGCGCCTTGGCCGGAACACCTCCGTGGGATTTGGAGGCGGAGGTGCTCGCCGAAGTTTATCGGCGAGTGGCTGACTTCCGGGCGGAGAGCGGATTTCGCCCTCCGCCCGAAGACGTGCGCGAGTGGCGCGAAGCCGCTCGCCGAGCCACCATAGTCAGATGGTCGTTCCGGCTGGAGACTCCACGCTCTGGCTTCGCCGCCGTGGAGGCTCTCCAGCCGGTCATCGCCGAGTGGGCAGGGCGGCAGCACGGTACCCTTTCCTTCCGGCTGACGCAGGTGCTTCCGGGCACGGTTGCTTCGGAAAGTACCTGCACTCGGTCGCTAGGAGGGAACTGAGTCCCACCTGCCACCACTGCGACTGCAGTGAGGACTCGGCCCAGCACACGCTGGCGGTCTGCCCCGCATGGGCGACGCGGCGCCGGGCCCTCACTGCAGTCATCGGAGCAGATCTCTCGCTACCGGCCGTAATTCGCTCCATGCCCGGTAGCGACAGTTGTTTTACCGCGGTCGCAACCTTCTGCGAGGTAGTAATCTCGCAGAAGGAAGCGGCGGAGAAGGCCCGGGAAGACGACCTCCACTCGGACCTGATCCGCCGCCGGCGAACCGGGCGGCGGAGGCGCGCTTACCTGCGCCTCATGCCGCCCTGAGTGTGGCCGCGGGTGGACGGGGTGGGTTTCCCCTCCACCCGCATTAGTTTGGCCAGCCGCGAGGGGACGGACGTCGCCTAAAGAGAGGAAAAAAAATTTTGAGACGGGGCCCGCAATAGGAGCGGGCCGGCGCTAGGAGGGGTCCAGAAGGCGATAACTACCTGGACCCCTCCTAAACTGGAAGCGCAAAGAGGGCACACCGTGTGGTTTTAGTCGGTTCGAGTCCGACACACCACCCCGCCGCAAACCCCGGTGGGGTGACGGTCCGAGGGTATTTCCACACGTTAAAAAAAAAAAAAAGATTAAAGAAAAAAAAGGCTGCCATCCTCCAAAATATACCCGCTTTTAGCTATAATAAAAGAATTGAATTTCGGTCATCGAACAGTATAACAGAAAACAATCTAGTAAATTTATTTGTTCACATTAATTTATTGATGAAATGAGTAACGTATGTTTTTCAATTGTATATATATATGATTAACTGTTTCATTTGATTAATTTATAAACAGATACAGTTTAATTGAGACGAAGCTTTCTAGTTAGTTTGTCGATATTTGTCATATGTTCCGGTGTATCTAATCTACCATATCAAACATAATGAATTCATCGGATATAATAGCAACTACTCCCAGAAAGAGAACTAACATTTTGTTCCGAACAATGATGTTCATTAGGCTATTATTTGGCAACTATTATAAATTCACTAATTCTGCTGTTATGTGCACGCTGGCTCGGTGTTACTGTGTATTTCACATTTTTTTAAGTTGGATTATATGTTACTACAAAAACAGTCACTCACGACATGGCGAATTCATCTATTCTATTTCTGTAACTTTTGAGTCCACTTTAAATATAATATTTTCATTAATCACCAAAGAAGAATGGGTAACAAAGTTTATTAACAAATATGATCAAAATAGTTACGCCGTTCATTTTGTTTTACTTTTCTTATTAATACTAAATTTGTCTACATTGGTCTTAAAACCCTTTTTCGATACTATAGGCAAACTTGTTACGTCGTACATGTACATTTCGTGTCTTATTGGTCGCGTACCGTTACTATATATAGCAGACGAATACCGAAAATGTGTTTATTTAATGAAGAAATACATGAGCATTATAGAAACTGATAAACATCTTACAGAGGAGGCAAAAATTGTGCATATCAAAAAATTTGTCAACCGTTATATTGAATTGACCAATGACTTTTCTTTTACAACGAAAATGCTCAGGATTAAGGTAAATATCATTTTATCTTTCACCTGGTAGGTCTGGGCTGCAGCCTAGCTATCATTGTATTGCAAATATGGCTCCATCTACTACATCTACGAGCATGATCTCGTAAACATTCTGCCTCTACATTCATATCGACAGATATATCAACTGCAGAAACCCAGCCTTGTAAAGGTTATCATCCCTCCTCGTCTAAGTCTCGGCTAAGCATGATTGTTTGTCGGATCTCTATTTAACCGGATGAGTGACATTACCGCACATCCAACTACCCCCTCCCATTTCCTAACTCGGTAGAGTACAATCAAGGGCGGCAACGCACTTGTGTCTTGAGTGTCTTGCTTGCAGGTTTTAAAGGCTTTTCAAGCCGTTTTTTTTAATGGAGTTTACTCCTTAAGAATCGATTTTCATATAAGGCCGGTAACCGGTATGGAAAATAAATGAAGAGTAAAATTTAGTGATCTAATGACCTCGTTATGTTTTGTGTGCGCAACCTATTTTAGTAATGTGTGTGTATAACTTGTATACTTGTGTG